TAATATTTTTCGAGTGTCTCCTTTTCCAAAAAGTGACACCGCCTGACTTTTCCGTCTCTGGATACTAAACGGTGTGAGAATCCGACTTGAAAATTCACTCGTAGGACTAAAAAGCTTCAAGGAATCGAATGGTGTAAACCGCAAGCCGGACTCTTAAATCGTTTTGGAGTTACGCCCCGTTGAATTTGAAAAACGCTTTTTGAATTCTGAGTAAAACGCGATATCGCTCGAAATCGGAGGAATTTTCAACAACTGAGGACAGAAATCGCTTCTGAGGTCCAAAATTAATCAACAAACTCTATTTCAGGCAGATCGGATAAATTCATTTTTGTACTTATTTTACAATAATTAAATTATGAAAAAAAATCAAAACCCCGATTCAAACTTCATATCTCGTTTTAATTTGCTGTCATCTTTCTGAAAATCGGTCGCTTTCCTAACTGTAACTTCCCTCACAAGAATCCGAGTTCAACAAATGTCTTCCCAGATTCCCGAATTTTAATTATTTTTCGAGTGTCTCCTTTTTCAAAGAGTGACACCACCTGACTTTTCCGTCTCTGGATACTAAACGGTGTGAGAATCCGACTTGAAAATTCACTCGTGGGACTAAAAAGCTTCAAGGAATCGAATGGTGTAAAGCGCAAGCCGGACTCTTAAATCGTTTTGGAGTTACGCCCCGTTGAATTTGAAAAACGCTTTTTGAATTCTGAGTAAAACGCGATATCGCTGGAAATCGGAGGAATGTTCAACAACTGAGGACAGAAATCGCTTCTGAGGTCCAAAATTAATCAACAAACTCTATTTCAGGCAGATCGGATAAATTCATTTTTGTGCTTTATTTTACAATAACTAAATTATGAAAAAAAAATCAAAATCTCCTTTTGATTGGCTGTCATCTTTCTGAAAATCGGTCGCTTTACTAACTGCAACCTCTCTCACAAGAATCCGAGTTTAAAAAATGTCTTCACAGACTCCTGAATTTTTAATATTTTTCGAGTGTCTCCTTTTCCAAAAAGTGACACCGCCTGACTTTTCCGTCTCTGGATACTAAACGGTGTGAGAATCCGACTTGAAAATTCACTCGTAGGACTAAAAAGCTTCAAGGAATCGAATGGTGTAAACCGCAAGCCGGACTCTTAAATCGTTTTGGAGTTACGCCCCGTTGAATTTGAAAAACGCTTTTTGAATTCTGAGTAAAACGCGATATCGCTCGAAATCGGAGGAATTTTCAACAACTGAGAACAGAAATAGCTTCTGAGGTCCAAAATGAATCGACAAACGCTGTTTCAGGCAGATCGGATAAATTCATTTTTGTAGTTTATTTTACAATAATTAAATTATGAAAAAAAAATCAAAATCTCGTTTTGATTGGCTGTCATTTTTCTGAAAATCGGTCGCTTTATTAACTGTAACCTCCCTCACAAGAATCCGAGTTCAAAAAATGTCTTCACAGACTCCTGAATTTTTCTTATTTTTTGACTGTCTCCTTTTTCAAAAAGTGACACCGCCTGACTTTTCCGTCTCTGGATACTAAACGGTGCGAGAATCCGACTTGAAAATTCACTCGTAGGACTAAAAAGCTTCAAGGAATCGAATGGTGTAAAGCGCAAGCCGGACTCTTAAATCGTTTTGGAGTTACGCCCCGTTGAACTTGAAAAACGCTTATTGAATTCTGAGTAAAACGCGATATCGCTCGAAATCGGAGGAATTTTCAACAACTGAGGGTAGAAATCGCTTCTGAAGTCCAAAATTAATCAACAAACTCTATTTCAGGCAGATCGGATAAATTCATTTTTGTACTGTATTTTACAATGATTAAATTATGAAAAAAAAAATCAAAATCTCGTTTTGATTGGCTGTCATCTTTCTGAAAATAGATCGCTTTACTGACTGTAACCTCCTTCACAAGGATCCGAGTTCAAAAAATGTCTTCACACACTCCTGAATTTTTATTATTTTTCGAGTGTCTCCTTTTTCAAAAAGTGACATCGCCTGACTTTTCCGTCTCTGGATACTAAACGGTGTGAGAAACCGACTTGAAAATTCACTCGTAGGACTAAAAAGCTTCAAGGAATCGAATGGTGTAAAGCGCAAGCCGGACTCTTAAATCGTTTTGGAGTTACGCCCCGTTGAATTTGAAAAACGCTTTTTGAATACTGAGTAAAACGCGATATCGCTCGAAATCGGAGGAATTTTCAACAACTGAGCACAGAAATCGCTTCGGAGCTTCAAAATTAATCAACAAACTTTATTTCAGGCAGATCGGACAAATTCATTTTTGTACTTTATTTTACAATAATTAAATTGTGAAAAAAAAATCAAAATCTCGATTCAAACTACATATCTCGTTGTAATTGGCTGTCATCTTTCTGAAAATCGGTCGCTTTACTAACTGTAACCTCCCTCACAAGAATCCGAGTTCAAAAAATCTCTTCACAGACTCCTGAATTTTTATTATTTTTCGAGTGTCTCCTTTTTCAAAAAGTGACACCGCCTGACTTTTCCGTCTCTGGATACTAAACGGTGTGAGAATCCGACTTGAAAATTCACTCGTAGGACCAAAAAACTTCAAGGAATCGAATGGTGTAAACCGCAAGCCGGACTCTTAAATGGTTTTGGAGTTACGCCCCGTTGAATTTGAAAAACGCTTTTTGAATTCTGAGTAAAACGCGATATCGCTCGAAATCGGAGGAATTTTCAACAACTGAGGACAGAAATCGCTTCTGAGGTCCAAAATTAATCAAAAAACTCTATTTCAGGCAGATCGGATAAATTCATTATTGTACTTTATTTTACAATAATTAAATTATGAACAAAATATCAAAATCTCGATTCAAACTATCTCGTTTTAATTGGCTGTCCTCTTTCTGAAACTTGGTCGCTTTACTAACTGTAACCTCCCTCACAAGAATCCGAGTTCAAAAAATGTCATCGCAGACGCCTGAATTTTTATTATTTTTCGAGTGTCTCCTTTTTCAGAAAGTGACACCGCCTGACTTTTCCATCTCTGGATACTAAACGGTGTGAGAATCCGACTTGAAAATTCACTCGTAGGACTAAAAAGCTTAAAGGAATCGAATAGTGGAAACCGCAAGCCGGACTCTTAACTCGTTTTGGAGTTACGCCCCGTTGAATTTGAAAAACGCTTTTTGAATTCTGAGTAAAACGCGACATCGCTCGAAACCGGAGGAATTTTCAACAACTGAGGACAGAAATCGCTTGTGAGGTCCAAAATTAATCAACAAACTCTATTTCAGGCAGATCGGATAAATTCATTTTTGTACTTTATTTTACAATAATTAAATTATGAAAAAAAATCAAAACCTCGATTCAAACTACATATCTCGTTTTAATTGGCTGTCATCTTTCTGAAAATCGGTCGCTTTACTAACTGTAACCTCTCTCACAAGAATCCGAGTTTTAAAAATGTCTTCACAGACTTCTGAATTTTTATTATTTTTCGAGTGTCTCCTTTTTCAAAAAGTGACACCGCCTGACTTTTCCGTCTCTGGATACTAAACGGTGTGAGAAACCGACTTGAAAATTCACTCGTAGGACTAAAAAGCTTGGAGGAATCGAATGGTGTAAACCGCAAGCCGGACTCTTAAATCGTTTTGGAGCTACGCCCCGTTGAATTTGAAAAACGCTTTTGAATTCTGAGGAAAACGCGATATCGCTCGAAATCGGAGAAATTTCAACAACTGAGGACTGAAATCGCTTCTGAGATCCAAAATTAATCGACAAACTCTATTTCAGGCAGATCGGATAAATTCATTTCTGTACTTTATTTTACAATAATTAAATTATGAAAAAAAAAATCAAAATCTCGTTTTGATTGGCTGTCATCTTTCTGAAAATCGGTCGCTTTACTAACCGTAACCTCCCTCGCAAGAATCGGAGTTCAAAAAATGTCTTCACAGACTCCTGAATTTTTATTATTTTTCGAGTGTCTCCTTTACCAAAAAGTGACACCGCCTGACTTTTCCGTCTCTGGATACTAAACGGTGTGAAAATCCGACTTGAAAATTCACTCGTAGGACTAAAAAGCTTCAAGGAATCGAATGGTGTAAACCGCAAGCCGGACTCTTAAATCGTTTCGGAGTTACGCCCCATTGAATTTGAAAAACGCTTTTTGAACTCTGAGTAAAACGCGATATCGCTCTAAATCGGAGGAATTTTCAACAACTGAGGACAGAAATCGCTTCTGAGGTCCAAAATTAATCAACAAACTCTTTTTCAGACAGATCGGAAACACTCATTTTTGTACTTTATTTTACAATTATTAAATTATGAAAAAAAAAACAAAACCTAGATTCAAACTACATATCTCGTTTTAATTGGCTGTCATCTTTCTGAAAATCGGTCGCTTTACTGACTATAACATCCCTCACAAGAATCCGAGTTCAAAAAATGTCTTCACAGACTCCTGAATTTTTATTATTTTTCGAGTGTCTCCTTTTTCAAAAAGTGACACCGCCTGACTTTTCCTTACTCTGGATACTAAACGGTGTGAGAATCCGACTTGAAAATTCACTCGTGGGACTAAAAAGCTTCAAGGAATCGAATGGTGCAAACCGCAAGCCGGACTCTTAAATCGTTTTGGAGTTACGTCCCGTTGAATTTGAAAACGCTTTTTGAATTCTGAATAAAACGCGATATCGCTCGAAATCGGAGGAATTTTCAACAACTGAGAAATCGCTCTTGCGATCCAGAATTAATCAACAAACTCTATTTCAGGCAGACTCAAAAAATGTCTCCACTTATTCGTGAATTTTTCTTATTTTTCGAGTGTCTCCTTTTTGAAAAAGTGACACCGTCTGATATATTCGTTTCTCGATCCTAAACGGATCGCGACTTTGAGCTGAAAATTAACACACAGGACTAAAAAGCTTCGAGGAATCGATTAATGTAAACCGCAAGCCCGACTCTTGAACTGTTTTGGAGTTATGTTCCGTTAAAATTGAAAAACGAAAATATGAACAAAATTGCAATATGCTTACCTTGTATTCTATAGGCATTCCATGCTGAATCTCACTCGGACAAAGAATCTCCTTATAAATTTCATTGGGCAACAAATTCGTCATCCTCAAATACCCCAATTCCAACAAATGCTCAACTGAATCGTCGCTCTTCGAATTCTTGGTGTACAGAAAATTACTCAAAACTAAATCGGCGATCCCAATCTGACCATCAGCTTCCGTAAGTCGCCACTGGGCATGTTTAAAACAAATCTCATTCGCTCTAACTATAGTTAATGGTTTATCGCTCCTGGTAGTCGATAATCGACTGTTCGTGAGCAACTGCGTTTCTTTGTAGCAGGATAGCATCATATCCAGCTCTTCGCTTTGAGCGTTCAGTTGATTTTTACACTCGTACACCTTCAATTACTGGGTTAATAATGCACATCGTGTATGGGGCATTCCACGTCGAGTCGACCCTCAAAAATCGATACACATTACTTTTTTTCTACAGTCGACTTAACGTGAAATACCCCAATGTCCCCACACCGCTCCTACCAACTTCTCCAAGCGATTCATCTCGTGGATCAACTCCATATCCGACTGATTCTCCCCCAGAGCTTTGCTCACCAGATACGTCTCCTTCTCCAATCTCCGCAATTTACTAACCGTAGTCCTGACCAATGTCTGCTGGTTCTGGATCGGCCGCCGCTGATCCTCGACGCTGTACAGCTGCTGGAAGCGCATCCGCGCCAGCTTTTCCAGGGCTTCCTTGCGGTGCGGCTCCACGTAGAGCAGCAAGTTGTTGACGATGTCCAGGAGCATGGCGTACTGTAAGGAGTTGGTGCACACGTCGAGGTCGTGGTGCATCAGGGTGAAGGCGTTGACGGCGTTCTGTCGGCGGTCCCACGGCCCGACTTCCTCCTGCGGGGGCGGCGGCACCTCGGCCACCGCCTCGGGGTCGACGCTGATGTCGCCGTATCCGACGTAGAAAAACTCGCATTTGCATCTCGATACGATCCTTTGGAGCTAGAGGTGATTGATTTATCGATTCGGGGGTTAACGAACCGGGGGCGGCGATGCGGCACGGTGGTGGTGTTTTTTAGCGGGAGATGTGGGCATGGCACGGTTGTGGCGAAAATGGATTCATCCGGGGTGGGGGAAGGGGTATTAGGTAATAATTGTCGGTATGTTGCATTAATGCGAAATGTGTTTATCAGTCAATTGTCAAAAAGTGTGTTTAATATATGGATCTCGGCAGTCAGTCAATTAGACAGCATCATAGTTGCGAGCACTTTTTTAACATCATTTATATTGATTTCAGGCACTGGAAAATTTTTTGGTTAAATACAAAAATTTATAGTAAAAAATTTACAAAACTTTTGCGCAAATAAAAATCCATACAAAAATTCTAGAAGATAAATAGATTTCGATCAGCTGAGTCTAAAAACATAGCGTGTTCAGGTCAGGGATCAAGATTTCAGACAGCTATCGAAAATTCCGGAGTAATGATAGACATTTTTTAAGAGAGCAATATTTTAGAAATTTCCGGTTAAAATTAGAATTTTTTTCGAAAATCCTAAAAATTATCACATTTCAATTGACAATTCTGGAAAAACGGTGGAAATTATCGAAGAAATAAGGCCGAAAGTAACTTCAAGAGCTCGAAATTTACAAGAAAATGTCTTTAACTAAATTTTCAAAATAGTTGAAAAAGTGTCGAAATTTGCATAATGACAGAATACAGAAAAACTGAACTTTTGAAAATGTTGCATCAGAATTTCCAAAAAATTCTGGGATACAGATCTCGACGTACTGATTCAAAAAATATAGCGTGTTTATGGTTCCGGACCAATATTTTCGAAATATTCAGTTTGGAATTGAATTTTTTTAGAAAATCCTAAAAATTGCCATATTTCAATTGGCGACTCTGGAAAAATGGTGGAAATTATCGAAGAAATAAGGCCGAACGTAACTTCGAGAGCTCGAAATCTACAAAAAATTGTAATTAACTAAATTTCAAAATGGTCGAAAAAATGTCAAAATTTTCATAAGGTAGGATTATAGAACAACTGAGCTTTAGAAAAAATTGACTAAAAATTCCAAAAAAAAATCTGGGATGTGGATCTCGACGTACTGATTCGAAAAATATAGCAAGATTTAAGAAATATCCAGTTTGAATTTCAATTTTTTTGAGAATCCTAAAAATTGCCCCTTTTCAACTGGCGATTCGGGAAAAATGGTGGAAATTACCGAGAAAATAATCTTAAAAAATCGTAGGAATTTTCAAAAAAATAAAGCTCAAAATAAGCTTTGGAAGTCGAAATCCACAGAAAAATGTCTGCAGGTAATTTTCAAAGGTGGTCGAAAAAAGATTTCGTGAAAAAAAATTCGTACTGAAAAACTGAGTTTTTGGAAAAAATTGTCTAAAAATGTAGAAAAAGTCCTGGAAGACAGATTTCGAAACCAAAAACAGCCTGTTCCAATCCCGACTCAGGATTTCAGACGAATATCGAAATGTTCGGAATAATCGTAGATTTTTATTGAGAACCTATTTAGCGTAATTTCAAAAAAACTAGGTGACCAAAAATTTTGAAAAAAATCGTGTTTGCGCAGAAATCCGACGTCTATCAATGTAAAAAATCCAAAGTAAAAGACGGCTTTTAACCAAATTTTCAAAATGGTTGAAGAAGTGTCGAAATTTTCATAAGGTGGGATTATAGAAAAACTGAGCTTTTGAAAAAACTGTAAAAATTCCAAAAAAAACTGGGGTAAGGATCTCAACGTGCTGATTCAAAAAATATATCGTATTTATGGCCCAGGAGCAAGACTTTAGAAATATCTAGTTTGAAATAGAATTTTTTTGAAAATCCTAAAAATTGGCACACATTTCAATTTTCGATTCTGAAAAAATAGTGGTCATTATCGAAAAAATAAAGACCAAAATAACCTCTAGAAGTCGAAATCTACAAGAAATTGTCTTCAACTAAATTTTCAAAATGGTCAAAAAAGTGTCAAAATTTTCGGAAAGTGGTAGTATAGAAAAAACTGTGCATTTGAAAATGTTGCCCCAAAAATCCCAAAAAATTCTGGAAGATAGCTACAGAGGTGCTAATTCGAAAAATATAGCGTGTTTATGGTCCCAAAGAGCAATATTTCAGATATATCAAACTTTTCAAAAAATCCTAAAAATTGTCACATTCCAAATCGCGATTCAGGAAAGATGGCACAAATTATCGAAGAAACAAACCTGAAAGTAACTTCTACAAGTCGAAATCTACAAGAAAAGCTTGCAACTAAATTTTCAAAATAGTCAAAAAGGTGTCGAAAAAAAATTTCATAAGGTATGAATAAAGAAAAACTGAGCTTTTGAAAATGTTACCTCAAAATTACCAAAAAATTCTGGAAAATAGATCTTCACGTGCCGATTCGAAAAATATAGCGTTTTTATGTCTCCGGATCCAGATTTTGGAAATATCCGGTTTGAAATTGAATGTTTTTTGAAAATTCTAAAAATCGTCACATTTTAATTTGCAATTCTGGAAAGATTGTACAAATTATCAAAGAAATCAGGCCGAAAGTAACTTCTAGAAGTCGAGGCCTACAAGAAAATGTCTTCAACTAAATTTTCAAAATGGTCAAAAAAGTGTCAGAATTTTCGAAAAGGCTGAGCATTTGAAAATGTTGCCTCAAAATTCCCAAAAAATTCTGGAAGATAGCTATCGAGGTGCTAATTCGAAAAATATAGCGTGTTTATGGTCCCAAAGAGCAATATTTCAGATATATCAAATTTTTCAAAAAATCCTAAAAATTGTCACATTTCAAATCGCGATTCAGGAAAGATGGCACAAATTATCGAAGAAACAAACCTGAAAGTAACTTTTACAAGTCGAAATCTACAAGAAAAGCTTGCAACTAAATTTTCAAAATAGTCAAAAAGGTGTCGAAAAAAAATTTCATAAGTTACGAATAGAGAAAAACTGAGCTTTTGAAAATGTTACCTCAAAATTACCAAAAAATTCTGGAAAATAGATCTCCACCTGCCGATTCGAAAAATATAGCGTATTTACGTCCCCGGATCCAGATTTGGAAATATCCGGTTTGAAATTGAATGTTTTTTGAAAATTCTAAAAATCGCCGCATTTCAATTTGCAATTCTGGAAAGATTGTGTAAATTATCGAAGAAATCAGGCCGAAAGTAACTTCCAGAGGTCGAGGTCTACAAGAAAATGTCTTCAACTAAATTTTCAAAATTCCCAAAAAATTCTGGAAGATAGCTATCGAATAATTCGAAAAATATAGCATGTTTATGCTCCCAAAGAGCAATATTTCAAAAATATCAAATTTTTCAAAAAATCTTAAAAATTGTCACATTTCAAATCGCGATTCAGAAAAGATGGCACAAATTATCGAAGAATCAAACCTGAAAGTAACTTCTACAAGTCGAAATCTACAAGAAAAGCTTTCAACTAAATTTTCAAAATCTTCACAAAGGTATCGAAAAAAAAATTCATAAGCTACGAATAGAGAAAAACTGAGCTTTTGAAAATGTTAGCTCAAATTTACCAAAAAATTCTGGAAAATAGATCTCCACGTGCCGATTCGAAAAATATAGCGTCTTTATGTCCCCGGATCCAGATTTTGAAAATATCCGGTTTGAAATGGAATGGTCTTTGAAAATTCTAAAAATCGCCACATTTCAATTTGCAATTCTGGAAAGATTGTATAAATTATTATCGAAGAAATCAGGCCGAAAGTAACTTCTAGAGGTCGAGGTCCACAAGAAAATATCTTTAATTAAATTTTCAAAATGGTCACAAAAGTGTCGGAATTTTCGAAAAGGCTGAGCATTTGAAAATGTTGCCTCAAAATTCCGAAAAAATTCTGGAAGATAGCTATCAAGGTGCTAATTCGAAAAATGTAGCGTGTACATGGTCCCGGAGAGCAATATTTTAGAAATCTCCAATTTTTCAAAAAATCCTAAAAATTGTCACATTTCAAATCGCGATTCTGGAAAGACAGCACAAATTATCGAAGAAATAAGGCTGAAAGTAACTTCTACAAGTCGAAATGTACAAGAAAATGCTTTCAACCAAAGTTTCAAAATCGTCAAAAAGGTGTCGAAATTTTCATAAGGTAGGAATACAGATAAACTGAGCTTTTGAAAATGTTGCCTCAAAATTCCCAAAAAATTCTGGAAGATAGATCTCGAGATGTTAAATCGAAAAATATAGCGTGTTTATGGTCCCGAAGTGCAATATTTTAGAAATATCCATTTTTTTCAAAAAATCCTATAAATTGTCACATTTCAATTCGCGATTCTGGAAAATGGTAGGAGTTATGGAAGAAATGAGGCCGAAAATAACTTTTAGAGACCGAAATCTTGGGCGGCTAAAAATTATGAAAAAAATTCAAGGTCCATACGGCTACTGGTTTTCCAAATATTTGGGTAAAAAGCCAAATTTTTAAAACATCCCAAAATTATTTACGTTTGCATTTTGGTAATTCTGGCCCAATTTTAGGAATTTCCAAAAAAATTAAGCTGAAAATAGTATTTTGAAGCCGAAATCCGCAAAAGATGTCTTCAGGTAATTTTCAAGAGTAGTCGAAAAAGGGTCTAAATTTCGTGAAAAAAAATTCTTGGAAAAATTGTCTAAAAATCCGGAACAATTTTGGTGATTTTAGCAAAATGGTAGGAACATTAAAAAAAATGAAGCTGAAAATAACCTTTGGAGGTCGAAATTCAAAAAGAAATGTCTTCAGGTAATTGTCAAAGATGATCGAAAAAGGTCGAAAATTTTGTTAAAAAAAATTTCGTACTGAAAAACTGAGTTTTTGTAAAAATTGTCTAAAAATCCAGAAAAAGTTCTGGAAGATAGATTTCAACGAGCTGAATCCAAAAAGATAACTTGTTCCGATCCCGACTCGAGATTTCAGACGAATATTGAAATTTTTGGAGTAATCGTAAATTTTTATTGAGGTCATATTTAGCGCAATTTCGAGAAAAGTAGATGACCAAAAATTATGAAAAAATCATGTTTTGCGCTGAAATGCGACATCTATCAGTGAAAAAAATGCAAACTCGATACGGCTCCTGGTTTTCAAAATATTTGGGTCCAAAGCCAAATTTTTAAAATATCTCAAAATTGTTTACGTTATCATTTTGGTGATTTTAAAAAATGGTAGGAATATTAAAAAAAATGAAGCTGAAAATAACCTTTGGAGGTCGAAATCCACAAAGAAATGTCTTCAGGTAATTGTCCAAAGATGATCGAAAAAAGTCGAAAATTTCGTGAAAAAAAAATTTCGTAGTGAAAAACTGAGTTTTTGGAAAAATTGTCTAAAAATCCGGAAAAAGTTCTGGAACATAGATTTCAACGAGCTGAATCCAAAAAGACAGCCTGTTCCGATCCCGACTCGAGATTTCAGACGAATACTGAAATTTTTGGAGTAATCGTATATTTTTATTGAGGTCCTATTTAGCGAAATTTCGAAAAAAGTAGGTGACCAAAAATTATAAAAAAATCATGTTTTGCGCAGAAATGCAACGTCTACCAGTGAAAAAAATTCAAACTCGATACGGCTACTGGTTTTCAAAATATTTGGGTCCAAAGCTCAATTTTTAAAATATCTCAAAATTGGTGATTTTAGTAAAATGGTAGGAATATTAAAAAAAATGAAGCTGAAAATAACCTTTGGAGGTCGAAATCCCCAAAAAAATGTCTTCAGGTAACTGTCAAAGATGATCCAAAAAGGTTGAAAATTTCGTGAAAAAAAAAACTTCGTACTGAAAAACTGAATTTTTGGAAAAATTGTCTAAAAATCAAAAAGCAGATTCTCGATCGTGCCACACTTCCACCCTCCAACCACATTACTACCAACAAAAAAAACTCAAAACTCACCTGACTAGAACTGCTAGGCCCCACAGTATCGCTAACCACAGCCCCTACCGACACCCCACTTCCCACCATATTCGGGACCTCGGATGGCTCAGATATCTCCGTGGATTCCTTCTCCTGAATATTATCGACCGACAACCACATGATATTCTCATTAACCGAGTCGTCATTTTCGCCGGCATTCACCGTCGCATAATACTGCATACAGTCCAAAGCGCCCGTCCACGTCGTCTTCGACACCAAAGTCCTATCTTTCCAGACCGGACGGTGGATTCGTTGGATAATTTCCGCCTTGGCGGCACTCAGTATCACGTAGCCTTGGGTCTCACAACCTTTGAGTAGAACTTGTGCGTTCACGAGGGCAACTACAACATGACCGGCATCACCCGGAAACCCACTCAAAATAAACTACATACTTTGCCAATTTCTGTGCTGGACGTCGTCCTCTTGGCACGCCTGCAACCCCTGCAGGTGCTGCTGCCTGGTCACGGAAGACAAATCGTCGCTGTAGACCACCGCCTTATTGTCAGCTTCTGCGATCAGCTGCTGCAACATATTGGCAGCCAGCCCTGATTGCAACTTGGTGCTTGGAGAATGTGCGTCTTGAGTGGAAGCGGCGGCTTGCAGTGTCTGAATCGACGAGTTCGGGGGAGTCCCCGGCACGTCAGTGTTCCTACGTTTCAAAGGAGTGGTGTTGCTGTCTTTCCGGAACGCCTTCAAGGCTTCCGTGGACAAATTTTTCTTCATTTGCTGCAATTTACATTGTAATTCGGGACCAATTTCGACTCAAACCACTACCATTGTTTAAGTATATTATAGTTGCACAACCTAATACAAATTTTACTTCGCCTAAATAGTGAGCTTTAGGACAAGGAATCCAGGGGGCGTGAGACAAATTTTTCGTCAACGCGCATTTTCACTACAGTGAGCCAACGTATTAGATTTATTTTACTCTACATCAGATGGCGCCATCAAACATTAGCAAAGGCAAACACCCTTCACTCTGCTCTTATACGAGGAGTTATCCATAAATCCATAATTAACATTGTTCCGTAAACAGTAATGTGTATAAACATATATGTACAAAATATGAAAATATACTTGACATAAAAAATATGAAGCGACGCGTTGTAACGTGATACGAAAGAATTGTATTTAAATGAATTTGACACCTATTTTTATTTGACTATATCTGAAGACTGACAGAAACTTACCAAAGGTTTTTAAACTGGTTTTTTTTAGTTTTACAAGATTAAAGTAAAACAAGATTTTAAGTAAAATTTAGATTCGTGGTGTTACAAAAATATTAACACAAAATGAAAATAAATAAATAATAAATAACAGAATGACATAAACTTTCGGCGTTGACATTACAAATAATTACAAGACAGAAAAAAACGCATCCAGAACTTAAGAGGCATGTTTGTAATATCGAGTTGTTAAAGGTTGCTTTGAAGACTGTTTCAATGAAAATCAATTGCTGTTATCCGACGTTTTGGTAGATTTTGTTTCAAAAATACGAGATAACTAATTGCTTCTTGAACTAGTTTCCGTAACTTCTAAAATTTAAAAAGGACACGCCGTTCTGTTGTAATAAAATCTAGAATAAAGTCAAAATCACACTAATATTACATCTGATTTTGTTAACCACATGAATATAATTTGCATTAAAATAAGTTACAGACATTGTTTTCGTCGCCTGAGAACTTGTTTGATCTACAGACCAAAGCACACTCAGGCTAATATCGGCTTTAAGCGATTTATCTATAAGCCGACATTCGTTAGAGTTGATCTGATACACATCCACTACGAAGAACTAACCCATTTCGACCATTGGACTTTACAACGAATAAGTGAACAAAGTTCTTGAACATCTTAACGATTTAATACATAATTTTCCCGAACGACAAAATATACATTTCAAATTGTATTATCAAATGGTAAAACACTCATCAAAATTTGTCACGAACAATGAAATGACGCAATCTCCAAATTTTACAATAGTATACTTATCCTCCGTTTACGGTTTATGCATCCGTGTCGAGTTTTCACCTTAGACATCAAGATTTTTGGAAAAAAATCAACATTTTCCAATTTATAATGTTATTTAAATTTTAAAAAGTAGCATAGTCCTGATTTATAAATACGCTATTGAAATTTTTTGGCTTGTCGATTTCTCGATTTTTCAACTTTAAATCTCTCAATTTTTCAATATTTCAATTTTGGGTTTCTCCGATTCTTCCATTCTTCAAATTTTCAATTTATCGATTTTTTTATTTTTCGATTTCTCAATCTTTCGATGTTTCAATGATACGATTTCTCAATTTTTGTCCTCTTCAATTTTACGGTTTTTAAATATTTCGATTTTTCAATTTTTCAAATTTTCACGTTTCTAAATTTTCAGTTTGCCGATTTCTAAAGTATTTTTTTTTATTTGCCCATTTCTGGACTTCCTAAAGTTTCGATTTTTCACATCTTCAATTCTTCAATTTTTCGATTTTTTAAGATTACGATTTTTCGATTTTGCTGTTTTAGATTTTCGATTTCTCAATTTTCCAATTTTTTAATTTCTCAATTTTTTGAATATTTCTTTCAGTTATGAGATTTTTCAATATTTCAATTTTTCGACTTTTCGGTTTTTGGATTTTCAATTTATTGTAAACTTTAGATTTTTCAATTCTGCGACTGTTTAATGCTTCGATTTCTGAATTTTTCAACTTTTCGATGTTTTAATATTTCATTTTTTAAAATTCTAGGTTTTTCGATATCTCGAGTTTTCAATTCTTCTATATTTCAATTTTTCAATTTTTCGATTTTTTTTATTTTAATTTTCGATTTATCAGTTTTTCTTTTTTAAAATTTTTCGATTATTCAATTTTTTAATTTCTCAATTTATCGAATTCAGATGTTTCGTGGTTTTGATTGTTCAATTTCTCAATTTTTCAATTTTTAACTTTCCTTTTCGGCTTCCGACTCCTCAATTTCTCGATCCTCCAATTTTTCGATTTCTCGAAGTCTCAGTTTTTGAATTTTTCGATGTTTAGATTTTTGGATTTCTCGGTTTTTCGATTTTTTTCTTTTGAGCTTTTCAATTTCTGGATTTTCCAATTTTTCAATGTCCCGATTTTTCAATTTTTCAAACTGAATTGGATTTCTCGATTCTTCAATTTTGCGATATTTTAATTATTCAATGTTTTAAATTTTAGATTTTGCGATTTCTCGATTTTTGACTTTTCAGTTCTTCAGTATTTAAATTTTTCAATTTTTCAAATTTTTGCGTTAAATTTTCAGTTTTCTGATTTCTCAATTAATCAATTTTTGATTTTCCCACTTCTCAAAGTTTCGATTTTTCAGTTCTTCAATTCTTCGATTTTTCGACTTCGCTTTATTGATTTTTAGATTTCTCAATTTTTGGATATTTCTTTCAGTTTTGATATTTTTCAATACTTCGATTCTTTGATTTTTCGACTTCTAGATTTTTCTATTTTTTATTTTTGGATTTTCAGTTTTTCGTTTTTTATACTTTAGATTTTTCAATTTTCCGATTGTTTTATATTTCAATTTCTCAATTTTTCAACTTTTCCATATTTTAATTTTTAAATTTCTAGATTTTTCGGTTTCTCGAGTTTCCACTTCTATATTTTAATTCTTCAAGTTTCCGAATTTTTAAATTTTTTGAGATCTCAATTTATTGAGATTCGGATGTTTCGATGTTTTGATTATTCAATCTCTCGCTTTATCAATTTTTCCATATTTAAGTTTTCGATTTTTTTATTTTGGCCTATTTCGGTTTCTCAATTTTTCGATTTTTCGACTTCTCGATTGTTCGACTCCTCGATTTTTTTGTCTTTTGATTTTTCGATTTCTCGATGTCTCAATTTTTGAATTTTACAATGTTTCGATTTTTCGATTTGTTGGTTTTTCGATTTTTTGCTCCTCGGTTTCTCGATTTTTCGATGTTTCGATTTTTGATTTATCCGATATTTCAATTTTCCAATTTTTTAAATTTTCGACTTCTCGATTCGTCGATTTTTCAGTTTTTCGATTTTTAAATTTTAGATTTTCGAATTTTTATTTTTTTGAATTTTTGATGTTTGGATCTCCATTTTTCAGTTCTTAATATTTTTTTATTTTTCAAATTTGGCGTTTCTGAATTTCTAGTTTTCGGATTTCTCAATTAATCTATTTTTTTATATTCCCGTTTCTCCACTTCCTAAAGTTTCAATTTTTCAGTTCTTCAGTTCTTCAATTTTTCGATTATTAGGTTTTTGATTTTTCAATTTTTAGATTTTTTAAGTTTGCGATTTTTCGACTCTGCTTTTTTGACTTTTCTGTTTCTCAATTTCTTAATTTCCTAATTTTTGGATATTTCGTTCAATTTTGTGATTTTTCTTTTTTTCGATTTCTCAATTTTAACTTTTCAATTTTTAAATTATTAATTTTTTTCGATTTTTTGAGTTTTCAGTTCTTCTATATTTCAATTTTTCAATTTTTGGAATTTTTAAATTTTCGATTGTCCAATTTTTTTTTTCGATTTTCCAATTTTCGATGTTTCGGTTTTTGAATTAACCGACTGTTCAATTTCTCGATTTTTAAATTTTAGATTTTCCAATTTTTGTTTTTTGATTTTTTTATGTTTCGATTTCTCGATTTTACAATTTTCCCATATTTGAATTTTCCAATGTTTTAAATTTTCGATTTCGACGATTTTTCACATCTTCAATTCTTCAATTTTTCGATTTTTTAAGATTACGATTTTTCGATTTTGCTGTTTTAGATTTTCGATTTCTCAATTTTCCAATTTTTTAATTTCTCAATTTTTTTAATATTTCTTTCAGTTATGAGATTTTTCAATATTTCAATTTTTCGACTTTTCGGTTTTTGGATTTTCAATTTATTGTAAACTTTAGATTTTTCAATTCTGCGACTGTTTAATGCTTCGATTTCTCAATTTTTCAACTTTTCGATGTTTTAATATTTCATTTTTTAAAGTTCTAGGTTTTTCGATATCTCGAGTTTTCAATCCTTCTAGATTTCAATTTTTCAATTTTTCGATTTTTTTAATTTTAATTTTCGATTTATCAGTTTTTCTTTTTTAAAATTTTTCGATTATTCAATTTTTTAATACCTCAATTTATCGAATTCAGATGTTTCGTGGTTTTGATTGTACAATTTCTCAATTTTTCAATTTTTAACTTTCCTTTTCGGCTTCCGACTCCTCAATTTCTCGATCCTCCAATTTTTCGATTTCTCGAAGTCTCAGTTTTTGAATTTTTCGATGTTTAGATTTTTGGATTTCTCGGTTTTTCGATTTTTTTCTTTTGAGCTTTTCAATTTCTGGATTTTCCAATTTTTCAATGTCCCGATTTTTCAATTTTTCAAATTGAATTGGATTTCTCGATTCTTCAATTTTGCGATATTTTAATTATTCAATGTTTAAAATTTTAGATTTTGCGATTTCTCGATTTTTGACTTTTCAGTTCTTCAGTATTTAAATTTTTCAATTTTTCAAATTTTTGCGTTAAATTTTCAGTTTTCTGATTTCTGAATTAATCAATTTTTGATTTTCCCACTTCTCAAAGTTTCGATTTTTCAGTTCTTCAATTCTTCGATTTTTCGACTTGGCTTTATTGATTTTTAGATTTCTCAATTTTTGGATATTTCTTTCAGTTTTGATATTTTTCAATACTTCGATTCTTTGATTTTTCGACTTCTAGATTTTTCTATTTTTTATTTTTGGATTTTCAGTT